CGAGATCCGCCGGGTGGTACCTCCACGTTCGACAGTCAGAGACCGTCTACCACCTACGGACAATCACAAAATCCATAGCCAAGAGAAAAATTTCTCCTGGGACGGGACTCGAACCCGCACAGCACACGGCGACTGATTAGGAGACCGAAGAGTCTACTACTGCGGCCACCGCTGCTGCCTTGTTAAAAGAGTACACTCGTAAAGTCTTCAAAAGCATGCGTGATGATAAGCCGGGGTGCTCATTCACTCACCAATTCTTCAGCTTTCCTAGTAAGGAAGTAACACTAGCTGTCTATCTCCAGACAATAATTTCGATTTGTCATAGGCAGTGCGACTCCCAGATGACATTCACAGAGCAACGAATCTTGTTCATGAAGTGAGAAGTGCACTTCATGAATTCCGTAATGAGCAATGGAGCGACTTTCTGTCAGGGATGCTTGACTCAAATATTCCTCTCTGGAAACTTGCAAAGTCGCTCAGAAACGGAAAGCGAGAACAACTCCCGCACATCCACGGTCCCAGGGGCATAGTCTGTAGGACAGAGGAAAAGGTCGAGGTTTTCGCTGATGCAATGGAAAGTCAGTTCTCTCCCAACTATGTCCTTGATAATGACCTCGACGAGGAGCAACATATTGTAAGATCCGCCAGGAGATATTTTAGGGCCAACGGCGTCAGTTTCAGTAGTGCCTCCCTTAGTGATTTTTCCTTAGAGGAATCTTCAGAAGATTCCTCAATTAAAGAGCTGCACGGCACATCAGCGGAATCTCCTGATACTCCGGATTGCACACCAGCAGAGCTCCAAGGTCATATTAAAGACCTCAAGATGCGTAAAGCACCTGGAGAGGATCGAATCACTAATAAGGCGCTGAAGCTACTTTCGCGGAAGTCCTTAACTTATCTCGTGGGAATAATCAATGCCATGCTAAGGAACCAGCACTTCCCAAAGGCGTAGAAGACCGCTGATGTCATAATGATTCCAAAGAAGGTGGGTTCGATATTCCCATAAGATTACCGCCCCATTAGTCTACTGTCAGTTCCTTCTAAGCTCACTGAAAAGGTGATTCTACGTTACCTTGAAAATTTTTTGGTAGGCCACAATGCGATTCCTGACGTGCAATTTGGCTTCCGGTCTGAGCATAGTACGGAGCTACAGGCCATAAGGCTTGTTGAACGACTAGCCAGGGGGTTCACCGGTAACGAAAGTACTGGCATCTTGCTTCTGGATGTCTCAAAGGCATTTGACAAGGTGTGGCACAAGGGCCTTCTCTACAAATTGATCCATAAGGGCTTCCCCTTCTGGCTCCTAAAACTTTTGAAATCCTTCCTTGAGGGTAGGCAATTTCGAATCAAAATTAATAACGTTCTTTCGACAACACGGCCCATCAAAGCCGGTACCCTCAGGGTTCGGTTCTTCGACCAGTCCTTTATCCACTTTTTATTCATGACGTCCCTTGCTCCAGCAACTGTGAAATCTATCTCTATGCTGATGACACTGCCCTGGTGCCCCAGTCGTGCTTTGGGGATCTAGTTCACGACAGGCTGCAAAGTGCGAATCCGTGGCTGATCAAAATTAATCATTCGAAAACGTAGGCAATCTATTGTACTAAAAAACGTAGCGGCGCCCCGTCTGAGGTTTCAGTGAATGGAGCTCGGGTACCATGGGAAAGCTCTGCTAAGTATCTCGGTGTCACTCTTGACAAGGGGATGACCTGGCAGAAGCACACTGAAGCGTTAAAGACTAAATTCCAAATCTCGTTCCGGCAACTCTACCCTATGCCATGTAGAACATCAAAATTAAGTTTGATCAACAAAGTTCGGCCATACAAGATTATTATTAGACCAGTGATCACTTACACAAGTGCGGCTTAGTGTTTTCTCGCCAAAACGCATTGGCGTAGCCTGCAGGTTTTGCAGAACAGAACCTTGCGTACAATCACTAACGCCTCATGGTATGTTTCCAACGATACCCTTCACAGAGACCTTGACATCCCTTACCTAAGGGACTACATCAAAAAACAACGTTATAATCAAGTTGAATCGCATAACAACCCTTTGTTGCGCGAGTCAGTAGACTACACAGTCGAGCAAGTTCGCAAGCACACAAGGCCGCGACTCGCACTGTGAACAAAATTAAATCGTGCGACTTTAGGTCCAACCAAAATCATAATTTTTCTTCAACTACCAATCCCAAAATTAATTTTAGGATCAATTTAAAATTGCCGAATACTAACTAGCAATGCCAAGGTACCCCTCAAATTGATGCACTTCTTTTTTCTTTGCTCTCCCTCCTTCCTTCCTTCCTTTCTTATTCCCTTCTTTCTCCTTGACTTTGTTTGGTATCTGGGCAACCAGTCCTGGCAGACCTACTGACTTACAAGACTTCAATCAAGAGCAAAGGTCCTACGGACCGCTCTGACAGACATTGACGAATAGAGGCATTGCGACTGTCACGATCAGCTAAGGAAACATCTCTGTAACTACTCAGTCGAGAAAAATCGCAACATTCCAGTCCGCGCCTCGCACTGTGATCAAAATTGAATTGTGAATTTCAGACCAACCAAAACTATTTCAATATACAAACCCGATAAAAATTATTTTTGGAGTTAAGAAATTATTCGAGTAGTCAAACCAATAATGCTTAAGCTATTCCAAATCATTTACTTCTTCTCTATGCTCTATTTCTTTCTCCCTTTCTTTCCTTCTTTCCCTTTTCCCCTTAGACATGTTTGGAATCTGGGTAGCAAGACCTGACAGACTAACAGACCGACGAGACTTTTATCTAAGAGCAAAGGTCCACCGAACGGCTCTGAGGAACAATGACGAATAGTATCACTGTAAAATGAGATTGAGCGGCACATCCTTATGCTGAGATTGTGAACAAGATGACGAGATACTAGAACCTAAAAAACGCCGCTTCAGACCACAGTGCTATAGGCGCAAAATTCTCAATCTAGGCGGATCCGATGGGCGAATCTAGACCAATCGGCCAACGCCACGTTGCTCAGCTCTCCAGTTATCAGAACGGTATATTAGCGCTTATGATTCAGCCGAGCCAATTTTCATTCGTCGAATACAGGGTGTCCGCAAAGTTGGGGTTTTCCTTTACACGACGTGTAGATCTTGAAAACATAAGCAATTTTTCTTAGTACCATATACACCAATGTCTTAAGGGAACCGAGATAAAGGGCTCTGCAACATCAAAAATATCTGAATACCGTCCTGTAGCTGCGACCCGCGATATCACCGACTAGTACAAGTGGGTCGGGGTCAGTGTGTCAGGTCAGTATGCAACCTTCAACCGACGGTTACGGTCACGCGTGTAGAGGTAAACGAACCCATATAATCGATTGCGTTTCAAAAAACAACAAGCACTAGAGACGTGGCTAGAGAAGTGCAAGTATCAAAAACTAAAGTGTGGTAAACGCTGTATCCGTTTCACGTCCAACGTGTACAAGCCCTTCAACCTGACGATTTTCCAGCAAGAGTGCAGTTTTGTGAGTGGTTGTTGCATCAACATGACAATAATCCGGACTTTTTGAAGTGCATATTGGTGCACCACCGCCGGCGTCTGCGCGGTAGTGCATCAGCTGATTTCATTTTCTGTTGGAGCGGTATGATTTCGGGCAGAGACGTACTTAGCCCTTCTCGTCAACTGGAGAGTGAGTACTTTTTCCTTGATTTTTTTTGACTTGGTCGCCCTCGTTTCACTACACATTACCTTTGTTATTTCAAGGGTAGTTGTTTCTGAAAAGGAAAACCCCAACTTTGCGGACACCCTGTATATTCGCCCCTGCTGGAAAAGAATTTATTCGAGAACATGAATTCTGCGACCAGCACTGCGCCTCTACTCTATTCAGCTTCCACAATTCGCTATTGAAGCTAAATGAGACCGTCTGATTCGAAAACAGTATTCGCCGTCCTTCTCAAATAATGTGGGGGGGAGGCGCATATTTCATTCTTTTTTCCTCAGGGCGCACAAAACTCTGAAGTCAGCCCTGTGAACCACACCCTATAACTTAGGTGAAGTTTGACAAAATACCTAGCAACTTTTTGATACTGGTAGGCAGAAACCTAAATATTGCGTCGCGACTATTATATGGATCTTGAAGACGCTCTGCTAAGGTTTAGGAAAACTGGAAAAGTCTCCTCAGGTTGATTGTTCCATAATCTCGACACCCCGGCGCAGCTCGACAATTAGGATAGGAGGCAAAAGTCTGGCGGGTCCGACTGACAGGCTCAACACGGCGTGGCATCATGGAGGAGTGCTCTGAGGAGGACAGTCCGTTGACGTAGTGGTAGTAGAAAGCCAGATCGCCGAAAACCCGTCGTGTGTCGATTAATCGGAACTCCCTCCAAATATGTGAACAATACTCGACACTGGATCTCATCTGGGTCTTGTAAGATTACGTGGAGAAAAGTAAATACTTCTAACCCTATAAAGATAACCTAACTTTTTTCCAGTAGCTGCTGCGGTCCTCGCCCAGCCGAAAAGGATGGCTCTTTGGCAGAACTTGGCCATCCAACGTCGAATAGCATTTATCGTCGCCTATGTTTGGTTTCGATGGAAAACAATTAACTCATTTAGTAAGCCAGAGTTGGATTAGCCCTAAGGCAATAATTTTCACACCTTATATAAAGATACCACAAAAGAAATATTCTCAGAATGCCTAACTGAAGAAAAATGTTTGTGATTTCAATAAAAACAGTTTTTAAGAAAGCAGTCTTGTTTTGATGCTGGTCCTATCGATTCACCTGTTAAACCTGTTAAAGCGAAGTTTATATTAGGAACTTTTTTATAATAATAATAATAATAATAATAATAAAATGTCTTTATTAGGCACATTATATACACTACAACATAATGTGACCTCTACGTAGGCGAAGTCTAGCTCTTGGCTACTCTACTTAACCTACCCAAATATTAAATTGAAACACTCAATCAAAGCAAACTTTGACAAGCAAAAGACGCTTCAAAACAACGAGCTTGATAGCTTCCTAGCATACATATATACACATATATTACGTAAAATAAAATTAAATGTAAGAATTAAAAACTAACTTTTCCACAATTACTACAATGACAAATAAATCTGTTTCACATGCTTACGAAATCTGTTTACTGGCCAATCCTTTATATTGTCATCTAATTCGTTATAAATCAGGATAGCATTGTAAGTGTATGAACTACGAAATAAAGTTGTTTTATACATAGGGATCTCTAGTCTTTTTTTGTGTCTGAAATCAATGTCTGAATTATTTCGTCTGAAAACAAATTTCTCATAAAGATACAAGGGGGATCTAGAAGATATGATCTTATGTGTAAACACTGCTATACGGTACTTGCAAGCATTTTTTTCGCTGATTACGAATCCGGGAACCAGTACATCAGAATCTGTATCATAATCTATAAAATAGTACTGAAATGACACTGATTTTCTCAAAGACTTATTTAAATCAAACAAAAATGAATTTTTTAGGATAGGTTTTCCAGAAACATCATTTCTGAGCTATTATGAAATGGATTAATTTTTTCTCATTGATACCCTCATGTTAGGTCACAACTGGTTAAAATGAGAACAAAATAGTCGTATAATAGGAAGCATCTTGTATACCAGAAATTACGACATTTTTCAATAACACATTTTTCAGCGGTCTGTTGCGTGCTAACGAAAAAATAAGCTACGGAAAGACTGACAAACATACTACCACATCAAGACAGACCGACGGAAATGAATTTTAGGTTGCCGTATAGCATGAAATAAAGCCCAAGAAACTCATCACAGTCCAAGAAATTATCGTGAGTGTGTAATAATATATATATTAATGTGTACCTTTTCAGCTCTGAGGTTGGCGTCCTTGGCCTGCTGTTCCATTTGGGCAGCGCGGTCTAACGCGTTGTCCTTTTCAAGCTTCATCGCTTGCATCTTCTTCTTGATCGCGTCCATGGCGGCGGTGTGTTTTTTTCTTGCTTACTCGGGGAAACTGCAACAAAAAGTCTTCTATAAGACTAACGAAATTGGTATCATAACCATTGGTACTAGCATTCAGTATCTGTACCTGGACAGTTTTGCGGGAGTTTTAAAAAGTTGATACAAATTCGACATGTACTTTTATACATTTGTCGTTCGCGATCTATAGTGGAAAATGGCGCAAAAACATAGTTTTTTGACAAAACCATCGCCCCTACTACTGTAAAATAGCTGTATGATAAACTAAACTAGGGTTTGCTAAAATTTATGTATTTGATTCAGATGAGTAGATTCGGCATACAAGTCAGTAGCGTGTCCTGCGGGTTCGGACCCACCGAAGTATCAGAGTTACAAAATTGGTGTGTTTTTCCTGGACGTACATCCTGAGCTTATACAGGGTGGCGCATCGAAAACGAAACGCATTTACTGGCAGCTCAGTTTTTTTTTTGGAAAAACGCTCAGACCCGTCGATTTTGTTTTCGAGGGGGACACAAGTTTGGCAAAAAATCACGTTAACACGTGTAGCCCCCTGGGCGGGGGTGACACCAACCCTAAAATCTTAAAGGGAAAGGGGGGTCGAGTGATACCTTATTTTAAAGGACTTTCAATTCCCTTTATAATGATGTAGAATACATGAACTTCAGTTCAGTAGTTTTGAAGATTTATTGATTTAAACCTTAAAGTAGACTTTAATAGGTACATCAGATTAGTTTGTACTACTTTCAGAAGAAATTTGACTAAAAGAATTTACTTAATAAGTAAATGCTTTTCTTTACTACGATCATGGTTTGTATATCATTTTGTTGTTGAAAATAGCTATTGGAACGTTTTTTTGTGGCAAAAAAGTTATTTCTTGAAGAAAGATAAGGAAATATATCTCGTACTTATTTTAAATAGTACATAGTTTGCGATTGATTTGACCAAACTTTGTTGCTAAAATAACTTGTAACGCTTTATTACATAAATGAATCATGGCATATTCCACAGCAGAAAGAGTTGAAATTATCGAAATATTTTTCGGAAATAATCAGTGCGCTAATAGAACAGCAGAAATATTTAATGAGCGACATTAGAACAGTAACGTGCATCGAAAATATGTTCTAGAACTTGTAGCTAAATTTCGGGAAACTGGGTCAGTCGCCAATAAAAAACGCAACATTGAAAATCCCATAAGGAAGGAAGCAATAGAAGTGGGGGTTTTAGGGCAAGTTTATGTAGATCCTACGTTAAGTACCCGCAAATTGGAGATTGTGCCCAATGGATTCTAAAGGCCCATAGTTTTCATCCGTAGAAAATTCACCTGGTACAAGATGAAGACGATTTTGATCGGCGATTACAATTTTGTGAAGATATGAGTGAACGAATTATAAACATTTTCTATTTAACACTTGCTTTCTAATCCCAGAATTTATCATGAGGTTCATACTCAGCAGCCACAAAAATTAAATGTTTGGGCTGGTATTTTTGGCGATCATTTAGTTGGTCCTTTTTTCTTACCTGGAAATTTGACCGGTGAAATGTGTTTGGAATTACTGGAAGACGCCATAAATCCTGCAGTAACAGCCATAATTGAAAATCAGAATGATCGGCGGTACATTGCGAACAGGATGGTGCCCCACCACATTATGCATTACGTGTTCGACAATATTTAGATCAGACGTTTCCAGATCGATGGATTGGTAGAAGAGGTTCCATTGAATGGCCCCCAAGATCGCCAGATTTATCACCTTTTGATTGCTTTATGAGGAGTCATTTAAAAAGCAAAATCTACGCTACTCAGCCAACATTATTAGAAGACCTGCGACAAAGAATTGTGAATGAATGCCTTCAAATTACTCCTCAAATATTGTAAAATGTGCTGCAAAATATTTATTATTGCATGGAGAGTCATGGTGGTCATTTTCAACATTTACTTGCCTAACGGATCAATTCATTCTTCATTATTAAATTACTTTGCTGCCAAATGTATTGATCTCCACTAATGATGATGTATTAGTTTTATTTAAGCTTTAAATCAATAAATCTTCAAAACTACTGAACTGAAGTACATTAATTTTATATCATTATAAAGGGAATTGAAACACCTTTAAAATAAGGTATCACTCGACCCCCCTTTCCATTTAAAATTTTGGGGTGGTGTCACCCCCCTTAGGGGGCTGCACGTGCTAACGTGATTTTTTGCCAAACTTGTGTCCCCCTTGAAAACAAAATCGACGGGTCTGAGCGTTTTTCAAAAAAAAAAACTGAGCTGCCAGTAAATGCGTCTGTTTCGTTTTCGATGCGCCACCCTGTATAACGTTTTTGAGATTAGTCGAATCTTTTTACGTGTGGTCTCATTTTGTAGGTCTCATAAATACCTAAAAATCTTATATGAAGAGTTTTTTCGTTCCTGCCAACACTTTCGATTGAATCCCAAAAAAACGCGTTATCTCATCCTTTGTTGTCGAATAAAAAGTTTTCCCACAAAAATTGTGTTCCCATTTTATGCGTCCATATTTTAAATACCCTCTTGTACTTTCGTCTAATACGATTAGACTAATTACTAAAATGGCATGTACTCTACCTAGTCAAAATCGCATTTTTAAAAGCTGAAATAGATGGTTTAGGCTATTTTACAAAGATGATGCAGTTTATCTTCGTTATTTTTTCACATTTGACGGAACATTATCCCCATGGATGGTAGAGTTACACTTAACAGGGCGTAGAAAAACCTATTTACGTCACATTGGAACTAATTACGTCACGAAACTTTGCGTTTGAATTCTCAAGTTTCGCTACTTCACGGTCACATGAAAACGTGAAAATACGGAGTATACTTTTTGGAAGCAAAATTTTGATATTTCGTTAAAAAAAATTCTTGAAGAAATCCCATTAGTCTCTTGAATTTAATTCCCATTCATACTGTGGTTCAGCGCATAGCTTTTGTTCATAAATAAGATTAGAAGTAGTCGGGTAACGACTTGTTTACTGCTTATGTCTGAATCACCCTGTATATTCTGATTAAGACCAACAAAGCGCATAGCTAGAACGTTCAAAGTCCGGAAGGTTTATTTCTCTTCGTCAGCAGATACATTCCAGTCGATCACGCGGAGGCATTGCTACTTGAAGTTCTTTTGTTCTTATTTTTAATTCGTTCGAGATACTTTCGTGGCAACCTTAAAAACATTCGTGAGACGGTCGTCGCTTCTGACGAAGGTCGTTATGTGGCGCTTTAACCGGCCTATGCAGACGATGTTATGCGTTTCTGTCTCGTTGGTATTGACCAATTCAGTTTTTTGCGATATTATGCAGTTTATTTACAAACATCTGCAGCAGTATTTTGTAAACTCTGCTGCCCGCTTATGGTTTCCAAGAAGGTCAATGCGTGAAGTTGTTTTGTGCCAATGTTATACTTGCATACTTGCATGTGTGCAGTCATGGTTAAAGATAAAAAAGAACTTAGTACAAACATGATCTAATTTATGAGAATACCGTATTTTTTCTTGTGAACAATTTGGTACAAAACTTCATTTACTCAAAAAATGGCGTCAAGTAGGTTCTCTGCACTTCCACGCAACGCTGTCATCAGTTCGGAAAGGATTATAGTGGGCACAAGTTAGACCTTCTGAGAAAAAATAGTTAGTAAAACTGGCCGATATAATTAATCCTGTCCCAGCCCTACTGATGTAACCTTCCATCTGGCAACGTCTCCCTTTTCCCCATACTTCACCGTTCGTGTTATAGACGGGCCAAGGATTAGCGCACAAACAGACGAAAAGACAGTCACGCCGACTGAAATAAGTGACATTCTTTCCGTAATGTCCTGTCATATAACACGCAAATGATATTTCATTTTCGATTTTTTGGCGATTACAATAAGTATGCGAATAATTCAAGTTTTCAATACCCACAATAAATAGACACGCACCTGGTAACCGTCTTTTCAGTGTTAGAACGCGGTATCTAATGTGCTCCATTATGCCCTCTACCTTGATTCTCTCTAGCTACTTGACATCACATAAACAAATCACATGCGCCCTCGATGAATCGAAATATCCTGACAATAATCTTTAATATTTAAAATCTTATCATAGGGGTAACATCCGCCATTCCTTGATAACATTGAGATTGACCGCAATCTCAGAATTGTTATAAACCGTTATAATGAGCACACAACAAAATGTCGCAAACATTTGATCAATTATGAAGTTCAAAAAGGCTAAATGATGTGTACGTCTTAACCCCAACGCCAATGTCTCCTTAACAAGTATTCTCGCCCCATTACGGTCACTAGACCCTTTTTATCCTGCCCTGCTGCGGGAAAGAGCCTTCAAAAGAATAACGAACATTTTGGAAAGGTGGCGATTTATTTCTCAGCATAGCTCGATCCACTTGACCTAGCAATGCTCCACCTTCTTTAACCCATCTGAAAAATATGTTTTCTGGAGGACTGCATTCGACTCAAATTTCTGCCCGACGAGTGACTTTTTCAAGTTTGGAAATAAAAAGAAGCCGCAGTACAGTTGTGGGACGCCTTTATGGCCTCCTTCATTTTCGTTGGTTTCTACAGTTCATTTATAACATCTGTTATCTCAGCCTGAAAATTCATACAATTCAAAAAGAAAACATAGCCTCACAATAGGAGAGCGCTGACGCTGATACGGAACAGTACAAATCTAGAAATACCCCAGTCTTTCTTAAGGAGGGGAAAGATTAACCAAATCAAGCAGGCCATAAAGGCGTCCTAAAATTATGGACTATTCCGTGTCAGCGCTCTATTTTGAGGTTATGTCACAAATATCTATTTGCATCAAATTGTTCATGCCATAATCCTTGATTTTCAGAGTCTTTCCTCTCCTTCAGAAAGAATGAGATACTTCTAGATTTTCCGTGTCAGCGTCAGCGCTCTCCTATTGTCAGGCTATGTTTTTTCTTGAATTGTAGGAAATTTCAGGCTATATAACAGATGATATAAATCAAAAGCATGAACAATTTCATGCAAATCGATTCCTAAAGTAACCTCAAAATAGAATG